GAAAGAGCGGGATGTGGACAGGGTACTGCAAGCATTTGGTACTAGTGGAGAAGCATATGGCAGAGGGGCAGATGGGAGAGGACACCAGGGTGGAGTGGGGACCAGGGCATGGAGACCCCAGTGCCAGGAAGAGTGACTGAGGCTGAGCTTCTAAGTCAGTTTCTCTAGGTGTGGATCTGTGTTGCTTGAATCAGTCCCCTGGGAGGAGCTGTCTACACTGCATATATCCTGAGCCCCGCCAGCGTCAGACATTCTGTGGGAGGGGCCTGGAAATCTGCGGTTTTAACCAGTGCACAAGGGATTGGAGTCAGAGCCATTGCAGTGCAAGGTGGGGACCACCAAAGAGTTTTTATACGAGGAGTTTGCTTCACTTGTGTATGTGTGTTTCACTCATGTTCCACAGCGTAGCGCACTCCTGGAGTTCCCTGCTGAGCCTTGCATGTGGAAACTCTAGTCTTTTTCAGGTTTCCTGGGGAAGTTTGTGGATTAGCCATAAACCACGCAAACCCTTCTGCAGGTGTTTGTTCATACACGCATCACTGTTTTCCAGGAGGAAGTGGAACCCTCTGGGTGGGGCTCCGGGCCTGCCAGGTTTTTGTTGGGGAAGAAAAAGCAGATGAGGTGGGGTCTGCCTTGGGTGAGAAGGTAACGCGTTTGGTTTCCTGGTGTCCTTCCCAGGAGCAGCAGCCAAGCTGGACGGACGACCTGCCGCTCTGCCACCTCTCTGGAGTTGGCTCAGCCTCCAACCGCAGCTACTCTGCCGATGGCAAGGGCACTGAGAGCCACCCACCAGAGGACAGCTGGCTCAAGTTCAGGTGAGCGTGCTGGCAGCACTCTCCTGGGCACCAGAAGTAGGTTTGCAAGCAAGAGAAAGCAGTTTTGCAGCTGTTTTCCGTGGGGCTTCCTAGTGTGATATGGCCCACGGGAGGTGGTGTCTGCTGCTGTCCCTTCCACATCTAGAACTCAGACCAGCTGAAGGCCTGCTACAGGGGGCAGGGGTATCCTAGAAAGTCACGGCCAGAGTGCAGTGATAGTCAAAGTGGGGGACCCACGTGGGCACCTGAAGCCACAGCTGCTGTGTTTTTTGTCTCCCCAATGCCTTTCCTTTCTCCCCCTCACTCTGGAGCTGGCATCACTCTTCTGTGAGCCCCTGGTCTCAGGCCACCTCCTGCCCTCTCCCTCTGTCAGGAGTGAGAACAACTGCTTCCTGTACGGGGTCTTCAACGGCTACGATGGCAACCGGGTAACCAACTTCGTGGCCCAGCGGCTGTCTGCGGAGCTCCTGCTGGGCCAGCTCAGCGCCGAGCACACTGAGGCCGACGTGCGGCGGGTCCTGCTGCAGGTACTGGGGCTCGGGCTGGCTGGCCGTAGCTGAGTTCCCTGGGCCTCGGCCCTGTGACTGCAGAGCGTGCGGTTAGCCCGGGGCTGGTCTGAAGACCTCGCTGGCTCCTTGTCTCTGCAGAAGAACCCTCTCCCAGCGGCAGGGGCACCCCACTTCCCAGGTGCAGGGCCGGGCAGCCAGCAGCAGTCCTTCCCGACACCTGGCAGGGTTGGCTCTGGAAGAGATGCTCCTGGGGAAGGGGATTATGGACGTCACCTTGGACGTGGGGTATGGTGGCAGCTGCTGAGCCCTGTTAGAGACAAGGTCATTGAGGGTGACCCTCTCCTTCTGCGTGGCTCAGGCACTCAGCCGCTGGTCACTGGGGGCTCCCCAGGCCCTGCCTCCTCGCTCCCGCTGGGCTTGTGCTTGTTTGCCGCTTCTGCGTTTCTGCTTGCTGCTGTTCTGGAGTTTGTCCTCCTGGCATCGCCTTTTGGAAGCAAGTCCAGGGGCACTTAGTCTTAGATGAGAAGTGTGGATTCCTCTTCCTCGAAAACAGCGTTCCCAGCCATTTTCCTGCCTTGGCACCTGCGGGCCCGCGCGCCGGCCATGGCCTTAGGGCCCAGTGCCAGTGAGTCTCAGCTGGCGCCCTTGGGAAAGGCGGCAGCATGAGCTGTGTTGAGGGGCCTTCAGGATGTGGCAATGACACTAGCTGTCACTGACCTAGACTTAGTCTGAGCCGGGCGCTGGGTGCTCAGGGCGGACACCCTCAGTCACTCTCAGAACAGCACTTCCTCTGTTTCGTCGAGCCCTGAGGAGGCTGCGCTGGCTGGCCAGCAAGTGCCAAGCTGGCCGTCACCCTCAGGCAGCCTGACTCTGAGCCTGTGCTCCCCACCTCTCTGCCGCGTCCCACCTCTCTGGTCGCTCTGCACTGCCACCTGGAAGGCACCAGCCCCACGGGGCCATCTTCATCAGACCTTGCTCTGCGGGAGCAGCAGTGCCTGGTGGTGCGCTGTGTGAAGCCCCATCACATGGTAACCTGCAGTTGATGCAACTTGTTGCCGTTAATAGCATTTCAGCATCAGATGACAGTGGTGTTTGAACTGGCCTTTGCCGCCTTGTCCTCTGCCTCCAGGCCTTTGATGTGGTGGAGAGGAGCTTCCTAGAGTCCATCGATGACGCATTGGCAGAGAAGGCGAGCCTCCAGTCCCAGCTGCCTGAGGTAACGTCCCCAGCCTGTGCCCCAGGAGCAGCAGATCAAGGTCCAGCTTTGCTAGGAGCAAGGACTCGTCTGCCATGTCCTTCCCAGGCCATTGATACAACTGGGCCAGAGCAGCAGGCGTTAGGGGACAGTTTCTGATGGGATGCAGGTGGCAACGGGTCTGCCCTCCTAGGGCCCTCCTTGGCTGGCTACGAGCAGCCATACTCTGCAACTCCACTTGGGGTGGGCCTAGGGTGTGAGAGAAGCTCCTTCCAGGTCGGTCCTCAGCCCGAATCTGTCCAGGCCTCATCACCTGCCTGCTCACGTCATGCGCAGGTACCTTCAGGGCCGACCGGACGAGTTAGGTCACACCTGGCTCTCCTGAAAGAAGCCTGCCCTGGAGCTGCAGCCAGCTTCCTTCCCGGCCGGGCCTCAGATGCTCTGTCTTTAAGGGAGGGGAGGTTGGTGAGATGCTCTCTAAGGCCCTGGCCTGCTCTGACCGCCGATGATGGCTTCTAGGGCACCCCTCAGCACCAGCTGCCTCCTCAGTATCAGAAGATCCTCGAAAGACTCAGGACGTTGGAGAAGGAGATTTCGGGAGGAGCCATGGCCGTGGTGGCAGTCCTCCTCAACAACAGGCTCTATGTCGCCAATGTCGGTGAGCCACCTGCCTGTCCCGAGGCGGGAGAGCAGGGGGGAAGGTCAGCCTCGGGATCCGTGTGTCCTTTGGGTGGTCTGCTTCCCAGACACGGAAGACCTCCACGTCGAGCGTCCTGAGACCACTAAGTGTTTCCCGTTGACTGCATAGGACGTCTCAGTCCCAGGCCGGGCATTCGAAGCACCTGCTGAGAGGCTGGTGTCCCGGCCTGAGTCCCCCCGGTGCCCCTAACCGGCTTGTGGCCTTGGGAGTTGTGTCCCCTCTCTGGGCTGCCTCAGTGGCTTCCTTGTCTGGAAGAGGTTGCCCGGCTGTGGAAGACCCACTTGGCATGAAGGGCGGCAAGATGGGCTGGGTGTGGGCTGGAGGGTAGGAGGTCACAGGGACGTTGGATTTGTAGGTGAAGAAGGGCCATGTGGGAGCCCGAGAAGGCGGTGCCCTCGGTGCAGTTTACTGCAGGGGCTCTGGAGAGACCCCACTGATACGGTCCCTCTCCTCTTCCTCCTTTCCTTAAGATTTCGTTTCGGAAAAAATTCAAAACTGTCATAAACAGCAGAGTGAAGAGCATTTAATGAACTGCTGTGTGCCCATCCCCCAGCCCCAGCATCCTCCCCCGGCCAGCATCACTTCATCTACAGCCCTCTGTCCCCGCGTTGTTGTTAAGCAAACCGTATGTAAATACTGCAGTGTGACTCCTTAGAGAAAAGGTCTCATTAAAATCCTAATCATAATTGTCCTCGGATGTCACTGGAAAAGTTTAACCTAATTCCTTAATATTATCAGCTCTCCCTGACTGGTGACTGGCTCCAGTGGTCTGAGCCTATTTTCTTTGCTCATTTCAAGGATTTCCACGTGTGAGATGCTTGCCTTTTCTCTCTTTTCTCATCGTGTCCCGTTTTTCGCTGTGCTCTCAGTCTCTGCTCAGCTGCTCGAATTCTTCTGCAGGCACAAACCGTGCGCTTTTATGCAAATCCACGGTGGATGGTCTTCAGGTGACACAGTTGAACGTAGACCACACCACGGAGAATGAGGATGAGCTCTTCCGGCTCTCACAGCTGGGTGAGTGTGGGGCGGGGCCTGGTGGCTCACCCTGTGCCTTCTGTTGGCCATGTAGAGAAAGGCATGAAGTGGCCGGGCTGTGACCTTGGGTTTGGGACCAGCCTGCCTGGGGTTGAATCCCAGCTCTTCCACTAACTAGTTGGTGATTTTGGAACTTACTCAAGTTTTCTGTGCCTCAGTTTCCCCTTCTGTGTAATGAGGATAATAGTAACACTTAACCTCAGGGTGTTGTGAGGATTGAAAGAGTTATTACATGTGAAATGCTTCCAGGAGTCTCTGGTATGCACTGTTATTGGTGGAGACTGAGAGGCCAAAGAAGTCCTGGGGCTCCAGCTGCCGCCATGGCCACCCCCTCCCTTCCCTGTGAGCCCAGGCTGCAGAGGGAGCTGAGCTGGGCGGTGCTAGATCTGCTGTCCCGTAGGGGAGGACTCTGCGCCACGGGTGTTCTGATGGGGATGGGGGCTGAGAACACTGGGGGACTTTGGGCTAACTGCCCTCCAAGGTGCCTGCTATGATTTCACTTCCTGTTCAGTGCCTTGTTTTTGTGGATATGTCTGTATCCCCTTCTTTTGGTTCTTCTTTATGAACAAACTCTGAGGTTATCGTGGTGTTCTTCCTCTGGTAGGTTTGGATGCAGGAAAGATCAAGCAAGTGGGGGTCATCTGTGGGCAGGAGAGCACCAGGCGCATTGGGGACTACAAGGTCAAATACGGCTACACTGACATCGACCTACTCAGGTGAGTGGCTGGCCCCGCTGCCCCCATTTGTGAGACCAGAGGCCTGGGGCAGATGCAGATTTTAGGCTCTAGGGACAAAAGGTACAGTTGAGGTAGTTTGGAGCCCAAGGGGATCCTTTCGTTCTCCCGGAGAGGTTGGTGTGGGGCAGGCCCTGGACCCGGAAGGCAGCAGGCCAGGAATTGGGGTCCTGTAGAGCTAGGCTGGCAAGGGGTTAGGTGGGGAGCTGGGCCAAGGCCAAGGGCAGCAACCAATGCCACAGGGCCTGGCAGGAGAGGCCAGAGTTCGCATGAGCTGCCTGGTGTGGATAGAGACAGACCGAAGGCCTATTGGTCGGTATTGTCATGACTGGGGCCAGGGCGGGGCTGCCAGATGGGTTGTCCCTTCTGGATGCCACCCACTGCTCATAGCAAACAGACGATGATAATAACGTGAGCCTTCATCCAAGCCCATGCGCAGTGTTTTACATCCATTCTCTTATTCAGTCCTCAGGCCCTATGAAGTGGGTGCTGTTACTGCCCCAGAGGTATTTTCATATGAGGAAACTGACATATGTAGACACTAGGTAGCCTGCCTGGTCTCAGGGCTAATAGTGGGCTTAGGCAAGACTTGAAGCCAGGCAGGCTGAATTCAGAGCTTGTGTCCTGAACTACGGCGACCCTGTATGCGAGAACACTCTGTGTGTGTGTGTGTGTGTGTGTGTGTGTGTGTGTGTGTGTGTGTGTGTGTGTGTGTGTGAGATGCCCACCTTGTGTCTTAGAAAACATGTTACAGCTCCTTACCCTCACAAGGTTTAAATAATTACATTTGGAACCTTTTGTCTCTAATTTGTCGGGTTCTGTTTGCTTTATGGAAAGGTCCATCTGTGGTTTAAAACAATTCAAACAGTGCCCAGGATATGCAGTGAAAAGTGAATCTTCCTCCCACCCCAAGCCCAGACTTCTTCCTCAGAAGCTGCTAGTTTCTGAGGTATCCTGCCCTGGAGTTTCTGTGTACGTGCGCGCGTGTGTGTGTGCGCGCCACATGCACTGTGCGTGGCGCGTGCTTGTTGGGGATGGAGAGGGAGCCAGTTGCTTTTTCAAAACACCCACAAATGCTAGCATTCTGCGCCCAGTGTTGTGCACCTCACTTTCTTCAGTATAGGCACCCACTCCTCCATTCCTGCACACCTACAATTTAGGCTGGCAGCATTCTTGGTAACAGTTGCTAGGATTCCAGTGTGTAGCTGTCAGCACTCACCTAACCCACCCCTACTGGTGGACCGACCTTCAGGATGTTGCCAGACTCACTCTTTCAAATCCTGTTGCCAGGAACATCTTCTTATCCTTGCCCTGTGTGCATGTGTGCATGTTGGAGCTTCCTGACAGTGACCAGTTCTGATGGTGCATCAGTTCATAGTCCCTCTGCAGCTAGAGTGTATGTGGGGCATGGGTCAGCTTGGAGGAGCCCAAGAGGAGTGGGCTTTTAAAAGAGAACTCATCCCTCTGGCTGTCCCACCCTCCCCCTGCCACCCCCCAGCTCTGTGGACAGGAAATGCGGAGTGGGACCAGGATTGGGCATTTGACCTTGGCCGTTGTGACCCCAGCCTCCCCCTGGCTTTCCTGGCCCTCTGAGCTTTATTTTAAGAGCTGCCCTCAGAAGACAGGTCTGTTTTTCTGGTTTTCTCTCTCCTCTCTTTCTTTTCCTCTTGTCAGATGTGTGTTTTATTTTACATTCTGGATGTAGATTCTTCTCACCAGAATAAATGTCCCCAGGGGGCCATTCCAAGCACAGCTGTGCCCTCTGCTCTCTTCCCACAGCGCTGCCAAGTCCAAGCCCATCATCGCAGAGCCTGAAATCCACGGTGCACAGCCCCTGGATGGGGTGACTGGCTTCCTGGTGCTGATGTCCGAGGGGCTGTACAAGGCCCTGGAGGCAGCCCACGGGCCTGGGCAGGCCAACCAGGTGAGCTGGGCCCGAGCAGAGCATAGCTGGCCAGCCTGCAGGATGGCATGCTCCCCAGAGCTCTGATTCGCACATGCTTTCACCAGACATCTTCTCTGGGTTCAAAGTTGGGGGAAGAAAAAGCCCAGAGTTCCAAGAACACCCATCCTACCCAAAAGCTTTGCTCCTCTGGGCTTAAAGCAGTGCCAGTCCCCAGGGTCCTGAGCAAAGCCTAAGGGAAGAGGGTGAGGGAAATGAATTTCCACAGGCACACGTGGCTCTGGAGACTGTCTGGGAAGGGCCCGGGTGGGCCGCGGAGGAAAGCCCAGCAGGGGCGCGGCCTGGTACCTAGAGCGCTGGCCAAGGAGTTGTGCGGCCCGCCCAGGTCCCGCTCCACTGCTTCCGTCGCTTCCCTCTTTGAGCTGCAGATGATATACAGTTCATTCCTTGTTTCTGAGATGGGGATGATGACATCTGCCTTTGTGGGGTTGTGATGAAGGCTGGGCGTGGTAGACATAGGTTCTCAGCCAGGGGCAGCTGCTGCTTTTTCCTGCACCTTGATGCACGTGTCAGACGGTCGTCACTAAAGCAGGACTTGGAGGCAGTCACATTGAGGGTGACCTTGAAGGGAGCTGCCTTTACCTGACCTGAGCTTGCTGGGTCAGAGAAATTCAGCTTGTGTTTCTCCTTCCATCTGTGATTCTGGTGAGAAGGTAACCTTTTCTGCTCTGTCCTAATTAAAAATAATGAGGGAAAGTCTTAGGCGCCTCACCGTCTCCTAATACCTGTGTTCAAGGTTTTTCATCTGTTTTATCTCATTCCTTCCAGTAGCCTTATAACATGGTGGGGCAGGGGCTCGCTGCCATGTCAGGCGAGGGACCTTGGGGCTCACAGAGTTCAGGGTCTCGCCTGAGGTGACAAAGCTGCTCAGTGCTGGAGCTGAGCCCCCCGGACCGGGCCCACGTCATTTCCCGTTACCTGCCCCTGCCCTCCTACCTCCAAGAGGCTGCAGCCAGCCATCACGTAGAGGATTTTGTGTTTATATTTTTTATCTTTTACCATAAATGTGATTTTTTTTTCCTTTCTTTGCTCTTCGTGATAAGACTATCCAGTGGCTTCTACTGGGTTCTAGAATACACTGGACAGTGGACTTCTCTGAGGGCAGGGACCCTCTCTTCATCCTGTATCCTCAATTTCTGACAAAATCGACATATCATCTCCTACAATAAGTTTGTTCCAGGAAAGAAAGCTGAATAATAATGACAATTTGTACTGAGCTTTTAAGTGCCCTCACATCCATTATGTTATTTAATCCTCACTGTAATGCAGTGAGGTGGATATTATCCCCCATTTTTTTGGTGTGTGGAAGCCAAAAATCAGAGAAATCACAAGGTCACACCTTTTCTGAGAAAGTTCCAGAATTATCCTGAATACCTTGAGAAGCTCAGGTTGCAGGCTTGGCTGGTGGGGACGTCCACTTGCTTGGCTGGGGACCCCTGATGAGGCTGTGGAGGTGTGGCCCCCGCTCCCTGGGCCCCCACTTGCTGGGCTGGGGACCCCTGATGCGGCTGTGGAGGTGTGGCCCGCACTCCCTGGGCCCCCACTTGCTGGGCTGGGGACCCCTAAGTGTCCTGATGTGGCTGTGGAGGTGTGGCCCACGCTCCCTGGGCCCCCACTTCCTGGGCTGGGGACCTCTGATGCGGCTGTGGAGGTGTGGCCTGCACTCCCTGGGCCCCCACTTGCTGGAAGTGTCCTGATGCGGCTGTGGAGGTGTGGCCCGCGTTCCCTGGGCCCCCACTTGCTGGGCTGGGGACCCCTAAGTGTCCTGATGCGGCTGTGGAGGTGTGGCCCGCGCTCCCTGGGCCCCTCGTTCCTCACCAGGTTTGTGCTCCCGTCGCCCCCAGGAGATCGCCGCCATGATCGACACGGAGTTCGCCAAGCAGACTTCCCTGGATGCAGTGGCCCAGGCCGTGGTGGACCGGGTGAAACGCATCCACAGTGACACCTTCGCCAGTGGCGGGGAGCGTGCCAAGTTCTGCCCAAGGCACGAGGACATGACCCTGCTGGTGCGGAACTTTGGCTACCCCCTGGGAGAAATGAGCCAGGCGGCACCCACCGCCCCCCCAGGTATGTGTGCCGCAGGCCTGTGCCCGAGGCCGTCCGGGGTTGGGGTCGTGGCGAGTCCACGGGCCTTGCTGCCTGGGGCGGAGTGGAGTCGGGAGGCCTGGCTTTGAGCAGTTCCAGGCCGGGCCCTGACTTTAAAGCTGTCTGAGCTGTGCTTATTTTTCCCTTTTTGTCTGTGAAATGAGGACAATACCACCTGCCCTGGCCTCCTTTGAAAGACCTGAGTGCACGGGAAGCACTTTGCAGCCCCACGGGCCACATCGCGGACAGCGGCAGCTGCGGGCTCAGTGCCTGCTGTGCGCCAGCCACCTCGCCCGCATATTTCCTTTCGTCCTCATTAACAACCCTTTTACAGAAAGGAAACTGAGGCCCTAGAAGGAAGGGACCTAGCCAAGGTTGGGCATGTCAGAGGTGAGGGAGAGACGCTTTATTCTCTGCCTTTTTAATTCTAAATCATGTCGCCCAGGAAGAATTATTCTTTTGTTCTCCCTCCCAGTGCTGCTTTAGTGTCAAGACCATCAGTTCCTGGGGGCTGCATTTCTTTTTCTTTTTTTCAAACAAGCAAGCCCTAGCACTCAAGCATCAGATGGATTTGTTCTCCCATGGACACCGGGGTTACTGGAGTTTCTCTAGCTTGTTATTGCAACCATATTTTTGTTGGGCCAACCTCAACTAGGAGCATACTTAGCCTTTGGGTTAAAGCACCGTGGGAAGCCAGGCAGTAACCCTTTCGTTGAGGCAGCTCAGCACTTCTCTTCCTGCTTTGAGCACCAGCAGTGCTTTGCTGCTGAGTGGAGGCCCCTGCCTGGCCCAGAAGAGTCTCTGCCACAGATACTCCTTCGCTGTCCTAAGAGGCAGAGAGTCAAGCTAGGGGATCCGAGCCGGGCCACCGCCTACCTTCTCAGGCCCTGGAGCGGCCCTGTTGCTGCCACCCCAGGGTCCCCCCGAGCCGCGCCCTGTAGCCCAGCACTCTCTTCCTCTCAAAGCTGCAGGAGGACGCGTGTACCCCGTATCCGTGCCTTACTCAAGCGCCCAGAGCACCAGCAAAACCAGCGTGACCCTGTCCCTCGTCATGCCCTCCCAGGGCCAGCTAGTCAACGGGGCCCACAGCGCCTCCACCCTGGACGAAGCCACTCCCACCCTCACCAAGTAAGCGGCCACCCCCAGCCCCAGCCATCTCAGGCCTGCTTCCTGGGCACAGCCCTGGGTCCCTGGACAGGGGTGGCCGTAGGGCCACGTCCTGTGCCTGAGGAACCTTGGTTGAGACGCCCTGAGATGTGCTGGGGTCTTGTTCCTCTCAAATCCTCCAGTTCCATCCCTGGGGAGGCCTCCCTAGCCTCCCAGGCAGGACTGCAGGTTCCAGCAGCTCCTTGAAGCCGGAAGGGAGGGGGTGGAGACAGGCAGCTCATGCTGACAGCCTGCTGCTCATTTCTTCTTGCAGGTGCCATGTATTCGTTTTCATTTAATGGGAAGGTTGTCCTCTTGTTCTTTTCTCTTCTCCCGTCTTGGAGTGTGTGATTTGGGGGGCCTCCCCCATGGTATCTGTGCTTGTGGGACATTGTTTGGCCTGTGTCGGCTTATGAGAGCCAGTGCTCTCTGACTAAAGCATACGATTTTAGCTTTGAAGCGAGTTCTCTAGTTTCAGGCTGGGGGAGGGGTGGAGGCAGCAGGGGGTCTGGAGTCTGCGGGTGTGGTGGGCGGGCCCCCTCCTCACTCCTGGCAGACCTGCCTGACAGGTCTGGTGTCTGCCCCGCCCCCTCCATGTCTGGGGAATGTACCCCCACCTGCCACACCAGGGGGCTAGGCTCTGGTTTCCACATTCCTGCCCTGCACAGAATAATAGAGGTGCCCCACCCAGCCCACTCAGGATCTGGCCGGTTGGAAGGGCCACCAGGAAGGTTTCCCTGTGCCTCACAGGGGGCCTTTCCTTCTCCCTGCCCCCAGGCTGCTGCCACTGCCACCACTGCTGCCGCCACCCCTGTGGGCTGGAGGGGCCTGCCAGGCAGCTGAGTGATGGGCATCCTGAGCATTGTACGGGTGGCCTCCCCACCCCTGCCGGGCTGCTCAGAGGAGCCACCAGCTGTGTCCACAAAGGCAGGGCATGTAGCAGCCATCCCAGACCAGGCAGGAGAACCAGCCATTCTTCTGTGCCTCCAGCTCCCTGGGTCCCTCCAGCCTGTGTCAGAGCTTAGTTGCCCCCCCACCCCGCTGCCGGGCTGGCCCAGCTCTGAGTGCTGGGAGTGTGCAGGACAGTGGGTTAGCAGGTAATTCCCAGATGTTACAGACTGTGTGGCAGAGGGTGGGTGCCCGGGGAGCTCTGGGAACATGGGGAGCCCGTCCTCACCCAGCTTGCGAGAGGAACGAGGAGGAGGGAGTAGGGAGGTTTTCTGGGAGAAGAGCCCTGGCCTGCCTGTGACCAGTGGGGTTTGGTCTGGGATGGATTTGGAGAGGTTGGAGTCGATGGCGCCCAGCTCGGCGCTGCTCTGCAGGTGGCAAGTTCTGCATCCTACGCAGTAGCCACTAGTCACGCGTGATTATTGAGCACTGAAGTGAGGGGTCCATTTTATTTCATTCTAGTTAATTTAAAGAGCTACATGTGGCTAGAGCTTCAAAAATACATTTGACTTTTCTCTGCGCCGAAGAACATCCGGCCAGCTGGCTGTGCCCTGAGGGGCGGCCAGACGCCGCGGCCTGTGACTGATTTGCCTCTGTTGTGCTCCCAGCCAGAGCCCGACCCTGACCCTGCAGTCCACCAACACGCACACCCAGAGCAGCAGCTCCAGCTCTGACGGGGGCCTTTTCCGCTCCCGGCCCGCCCACTCGCTCCCGCCCGGCGAGGATGGCCGTGTCGAGCCTTACGTGGACTTTGCGGAGTTCTACCGCCTCTGGAGCGTGGACCATGGCGAGCAGAGTGTGGTGATGGCGCCGTAGCCCGGCCACGGAGTGCAGCCCGAGCAGGACCTTGCCTGGGGACGGGGCCCAGCTCCGGGCAGGACGGGCCTTTTCCTGCCATTTGCCTGTGCCCCAGGGGCCAGCAGAGGCCTGGTGCTCAGCCTGCATCGTACTCTCACTCCACAGCCTGTGGTGCTGTAGAGAGTGTTCTCTCAGTGCACTGACGCAGACCGGACCCCTTGCCACGGCGGCTGCACAGGGTCCGGAGGCAGTCCCCCGGGCAGCCTCAGCCACGACCATTGCTGTTTCTCAGAACAAGGGGCACAAGTGCGGCAGCCCATGAGCCCCGCGAGTGGCAGCCACTGCTTTCCCAAGGCCACCCCCTTCCCGCCACCATCTCCCCTGGAGGAGCCTGTGGCCACTGCTAGCGCCCCCTCGCCCCTGGGGGGTGGTTCCCGCCTTCTCCACCCGGCCTCCAGAGTGGAACCCCAGTCGGCGTCTGCACCTTCGAGGCCTGCACCTGTCCCTGGGCCCCGTCCCTAGGCATCCTTGGGCTCAGGGGCACTGGGATGGCTGCAGAGGGGGCAGTCAGGTGGAAAGGAACCAGAGAGAACTGGTCCAAGAGGGGCATTGGTCCTGGAGCCCACCAGAGTGGGCAGGCTGGGCAGGGCTGGCTCCCCGGGGCCGGGTGAAGAGGGGAGGTGTGCCCGGCGTGAGTGGCGGCAGGGGCCGCCCCTGCCAGGCCCCTCCGGGAGTGGCGAGGCCCTGAGTCGGACTGAGCTAGTCCTGCCCTGCTTTCCCGCGGGAGCTGGGGAGCGCCCCAGGCTGGGGGCTGCTAAGACTGCAGCCTGAACCACTGACTGCGAGTCTCTGCCAGCTCCACGGTAACAGGCAGGTCTTAGGCCAGGCCTCGGGGCTCACTGGAAACAGAGAACAGTGGAGAATGGTTCCAAAAGGGAAGAGGCTCCTGGAGACCTGCTGCTCTGGGTGGTCGAGGGCTTTGGAGACGTGCACTGTTTTTACAGACACTTCGGGTCGGGATCAGGCCAGCCCAGGCCCTCAGTTAGACCATTTCATGCATGTTCTCTGCCTTCAGTGGGGAAGGGGTGCCACCAGGGCTGTCAGCTGGAATTGCCCTTCGTGTTTCCAGAGGAGGAAGCAGGCTCAGGAGATTCACACCTTGTCCAAGTCACACAGTCAGAGGTGGAGTAGAACTCAAACTTTCTTGTCAGTCTCTGAGGCCCCCCGGGTTCTTGCCAACACCCCCCAACCTGGTGCCCAGCCTCCTGCCCCATGATGCCCCAGACACAGCTCACCAGGGACTGGCTGCTGTGCACGGCCTCCAGCGTGCTTGGACTCTGAAAAGTCAAAGGCCAGTTCCGAGGTTCCCTGTTCGCCCTGTGGTCCAGGAACATGCTTTCCTGTGGCAGGGCAGGGCCCATTGTGGTGCCGGTTTCTGAGGGGAGCCGCGGCATGAGCAGAAGAAAAGCGGATCTCAGCAGAGGGCCCTGACCCCCCTCCACTAAGAAGCCATCTCCGTTGTGCAGGTGAGCAGATTTAAAATCAGTCACAGAGGCTTGGGCACGAAGGGATTCTCTTCCGAGAATGTCTCTGTATGCTGTTTGGTCTCTAGAGATAGAATCACTTTTTTACAGCAGTAAAGAGATAATAAAGGGTGGTATAATGTGTCATGGTGTTAATAGACTACGGTGTCTTGTGTAGCTCGCGGTGGCCCTGGGAGGTGGCCGCCGCCTCCTGCCCCGCTCAGCAGCTGGAAGCGCCAGCTCACCAGGCCGGGGAGTGGCAGAGCCAGGATGCGAACCCGGCCTCCGGACCGGACCGGTGCTGCCACCTCACAGCCTGAGGGGAGGGCGCTGGGTTGCTCAGCGTCCCCCCAGGTCCCTGCACACCTGGAGAGGGTGACAGCCCTCCCCTGCTGCGCACCAGCTCCTCCTCTTCCTGAAGGCAAGGCCGGTTCTCGGCGTGTGAGTGTGGTGTGGCTGGCAGGGCTGCGGGCCACCAGGACCCAGTCCTCCCACTCCCGCTCCCCACTGGTCAGAAGACCTTGAGAAGGTTCCTCGGCCTCGTTTTGGTTTCGTCTGCGTGGAGGATACTCTATGAATACTAGTCCACAAAGCGCCTCTTCCCGCTTTACGGGACTTAAGACCTTGTCCCTCTAACACTGTAAAGTCATGTGTAAGGAAGGGTCTGCCTGGGGCCTTGCGTGCAGCAGGTGCTACTTGCCACTTCCCCTGGGAACCCAGACGCTGGGCCGTGGGTGTGGTTATTGCCTCTTCTCAGCGAAGCCCAGAGGGAGGCTGTCAACCAGGCTCCCAGACGTTTCCTCCAGCAAGGGCATCTTTCATGATTCTTCTTTCTGGGCCCCCTGCTTTGAAGCCAAACAAGGACACAGATCCCTGGCAATCCTGACGGGCTCGGCACGAGCACGCACGAGCCCGCGCTTTGTTCCCACGCAGAGGTGATGTCAGCCCGGAGCAAAGAAGGGCATTTCCATGAGCCTCTGGGCGTGCAGCCTCCTCAAGGAGGGACACAGTGTCTGACAGCCGGCTTTGAGGAGTATTGACACCAGCTCAGGGACTCCATTCCTGCCTCCGAGACACCCCTGCCTTCAGGCTGTGTGGACCAGCTGGCTCATCCAGCCCCTTCTTGCCCTGTTCTCCCAGGTCACTCGGTGGGCCAGGGCCAGGGTGGGCCTCAGGGCCCCACGAATTGCCTCAAGGCCAGCGCCCCCGCCTGTTTCCGCACGGTCTTGCAATTGTCACTTCAGCATGCCCAGATGGTGCTGAGCTCAAGAACCTTCCAGAGCTCCTGCGTCCTGCCTCAAGGCACCTGCTGTGTTGGAGTCCTTTGTGTGCTTACTGCTCTCCCCCTGCCCCTCCACCCTGGACCCTGCACAGCCCCTGGGCAGGTCGAAGAAACGTCAGGTGAACGACGGTAGGTGCGCTGCCCAGAAAAGAACTTCTGGAACTTTCCTACAGGAAACATCTTTACCCTGTAGAAAACTCCCACCCCAGTACCCCCAGAGTTTGGAAGTTTGTAAGCAATTAGATGTCTCATAACTTATTTTGAATATCTAGGTGAATTCTGCAGTCAAATCCACAATAGTCTCATGTTTGTTTTAGTACAAAAGCAACATTTTTTTCAAAAACAGTATTTAAAATTACTTATTGTCAAGTAAATTGATGCTTCAGGAAGTGCTCCATGTCAGTCCTATAGGTTTGTAGGTCTCAGCCCATCGCAGGGAACCCAGCAGGACCCAGGTGGAGGGGCCCAGGTGACCCTATAAAACCCGCTAGCTGCTAAGTGCCAGATGGGAACTTGCAAGGCATTAACTCCTGAGAGAGGCCCTCACGGTGGTCACCCCCCACGTGCCCCCCAGTGCCACCAGGCAGGGATCTGTGTCTGAAGGTTCACTGGGTCCTATTGTTAGTTCCCACTTTGGAGATGAGGAAATAAAGCACAGACAGGTGAAGGAGTTTGTGCGGAGTGATCAGGAGACAGATTTCTGCTCAGGATCGGAAAGAACTTTCTAATAGCGTGTGAGTTGTTAAACGTCGGAAGGGGCTGCCTGTGGGAGGTGGGAGATTCCGATCTTTACGGCGTGTGAGCAGAGCTGCACCCACAGCATCTGATGGAGCCGGAAGCGTTGAGCTGCAGGCCCAGCCTGGGTGCACGTCAGAGCCGTGTACCAATGGCTGGCGGCGGCGGGG